TCTCATTCAAATAATAAGATAAAAATCAAATAATAATATAAAATCTTTGGGCAAAGAGAGATATTTATTTCAATAATTATTTTACAAATCCTCACGTGAAATACGTAATCAGTGAGCTTGAAAACTTTTGACTACCTAGTTTTAGACAAAATTGGAAGCTTTTTAAAAATTTTGGCCTCCATATTGGATCCGCCATTTTGAATTTCTAAAAACTGACATTTTTCAAATGAATTAGATAAATTTTCAATTTTTTTTAGTGCCATATTGGATCCGCCATTTTGAATTTCTAAAAACTGACATTTTTCAAATGAATTAGATAAATTTTTAATTTTTCTGATCGCCATATTAGATCCGCCATTTTGAATTTTTGATATCTGTTGGCAGATTCGTAATTTAAATTTTTAAAAATAAACACTTGGTTTTATTTTTTCAAGAAAATTTTACATTTTAGTCTCAGAGAGTATTTTGTCAAAATTTCCCTTGTGGTTATTCTTCATACTCTAAACACTCAACTCCGATGAGCAAGTGAATGCACTTTCTTTCATTTCTATATGTAGATCGCAGTACATTACAATATTTTTCAAAAATAGAAATTAAAAATTAAAAAACCATTTTTTTTTTTTTTTTTTTTTTTTGATGATGATGAATGATGATGAAAGAAAATTGATAAAAAAAATCTTTCATTGAAGAAGATTTCGTTTTTATTTTCCATGTTATTACCAATTTTATGTCGTAAAATGTGTAGGAATTTCTGTGGACTATTTATATTATGTTTTTTTTATGTTGTGACCGTAAAGTTTTGATTAATAACTGAATATAAAAAAAAAATGTAACCACATATAGTGAAATATTTCATAAACCAAATCACTCACTCAGTGAATTTTCCCAAAGGACATGTCACACTGTCTATATATATATATAAAATTTATGTAATTTTTGATAAGTGCACTTAGCCTTTGAAGTTAGTGGAATTGCTAATTGCGTGTGATCATCAATTTAGAGTAAATAATTATGTTTTATAATGTAAATATACTTTTATCTACACAAAATGACATTTTATTTTATGAAAAAGATCATTTTTAGCATTTTTAACGAGAATTACGATTTAAACTTGATTTCTAAATTAATATTTAAAATTAATAATTGAAAGTTAATAAATTTACTATTTGAAAAATAATTAATTAACTAGGTGCCAAACTATTATTTATGAGACGTAAATAATAGAAAAAAAATGTGTTCTTACTTCGAAATAAATAAAAATTGTTTTTTTCTTATCGAGTGATACATTTACATGAAATTCTTTCTTTTTTTTTAAACAAAGGCAAAAAATTCATGACATTTATTTTCGTTTGTGGAAATTCATCCTCTTTTCATGTGCAAACAAAAACTTACTAATCTGAATAGTTTCCTGGAAATAAATCGTCTTGGATGAGTAGATAGGAAACTTTAAATGTTTGGAGAAAAAAAGAATTCTTCTCGAAACTCAATTTTTTTTTCTCAACATGCACGAGAGAGAAAATTTCTTGGAATAAACTTTTTCACGAATGCCTTTTTTAAATTTCCACTATTTCACAAGTTTTATATACTTCAATTTTGTTTAATCGATTTTTAGAATATAATCACTTCTCGTAAAAAAAAATCTCGTATGATAGAAATTTCGATTTAAGAATATAAAGATGAAAGGAAACAAAATAGTATTAATTATATCTTATAAATGAAAATAAATTTAATTATATACTATTCTTTTATTATAACTATATAATTATTATATTTATTTTTGATCAGAAAAACCTATTGTCATTCTATTCAAGTGGTAAATAAATATTTAAAAAATTGCCGTCTGACTAAAACCTGTTTAAACTATTGATTTTGCAGTGAAAATTGTTAATAGAGAAATTGAAGCTAAATTTGACTACTATTTTCATTAAAAAAAATAGTTTTCAGTAAATTACCGTCGAAAACAATAAAATTTGATTTATAGTGAGAAACAGTAGTTTAATTTATTTTTAGTCAGACAAGGTATTTTTTACCACTTGTTCTAGGGAAAATAGTAGTAAAAATTTAGTTTTAGTCAGACATCTTTTTTTCATTCTTTTCACTGCAAAATCAGTAGTTTTAATAGATTTTAGTCAGACGGGAATTTCTTATAATATTCTTAAAATTAGTATATTAGTGGTAATAATAATTTTCGATCATATGATAAATTTTAAAAATATTTTTATGAAAAAAATTTTTTAAAATTAACTTTTAATATTTTAGAGAGTAAATAAAATTATATTTTGCTATAAAAGTGATAAAGAAAGAGAGTAACTTTCTAAGAGTGTGTACTTCTTTATCCCCCTTTTAGTAATATTTTTTGTCCCGTTTATAATCAAGCAGAGGTAAAAATTTTGAAAAATTTGAATTTTAAAATTTTTTTCACAACAGTAAAAGAAAAAGAGAATGAGTGAATTTCCAGTAATATGTTATTATTTCTTCTACGTCATTGCTTTTATCTCGTTAATTCCCTGCGAAAAATAGAAAAAAATTTTGTAATATTTTTGAAAATTTATATTTTCTCCACAAGAGTGAAAAAAAGCGATGAGTAAATTTTCAAAAAAACATGACGTCATTACAGCCTCTACGTCATCTCTTTTGTCCCTTTTATTTACCAGCGAAATGTAGAAATATTTATTAAAAATCTTTCAAAAATTTTATTTTTGTACATTAGAGTTATCAAATTTTAAATTTTATTTTCTTAATTTATTTCTAAAAAAATTAGAAAATTATTTAACAAAAATTTCAAGTTTTATTTATTATTATTATTATTATTATTATTATTATTATTATTATTATTATTATTATTATTTATTATTATTATTATTTTTATTTATTATTATTATTATTATTATTATTATTATTATTATTATTATTATTATTATTATTATTATTTATTTATTTTTTTTTCTTTTTCTTTTTAATATTGTAATGTTTTATTTTATGAAATCCGAGGCCTTCTATTTAACTATTTTTTTCTCTAAGCAAATTCACAGAAAAAGTAAAAAATGGCGCCTGACTCGGTGCAACTGATTTTCTACTATTTTCATAAAATTTCCAAACAGAATTCAATTATTTAAAAAAAAAATGTTTTGTTAAAATCATCATAAGAATTTAATTCTTTTCATGAATAAAAAAAATTCGTTGAAGGAATTCAATTTATTAGCAGGATAAGAAAGAAGTAAATATTTTTTATATAGAATTCACAGAAAAACTACATAGAAATTTATTTTTTCCAACATTTGCAAAAATAGAAACAAAATAAAAAACTGTTTTCAACAAAAGGTAACATCTTCTAGATATTGTCGTAAAAAACTTTTCTTTTCTTTCTCTCTCAAAATTGTATTTTCTTGACTTTTTCCACGGTTTGCTTTTATCGTATCTACCCCTCTTGTTATATCGCATGTCATATCATAAACTCACAGTATATACGATTCAATTTCCTTTATAAATTTCTTTTTAATGTTAAATTTCAACAGTTTTTCAAAAATATATTATTGAAAAAAAAATAGTTTCTTTTTGAAAATAACATCTATTTTTTTCTCAGTTAAAAAAATTTACATCCACTTGCTTTCTTCTTTATTTACAAAATAAATTGATTCTCCAGAATAAAAAATGATTTTTTTTTTTAATAATTCTTAAAAACTTAGTGTGTGTGTGTGTGTGTGGAAAGTTATAAAAAAATAGTTTTGAAACTTGACATTCTTTTAAGTTATATAATTGTAAAATTTAATTTCCCCAACACTAAAAGCTTTTTATTTGCCTGATGGCAATATAAATTCGAATGTTTAAAAACAAAGTGTTTTCTCGTGTGTGATAAAAAACTTTGCGTGGTTCTTTTTTTTTTTTTATTTTAGAAAGTTTTTACCCCACAAAATCGGTAAAAATCAATTTCACGAGATTGATTGGTTTGGTGGGAGGAGAGTTATATGGAAAAAAAAGGTCAAGAGCTCAAATGAATCTCGGGACGCAGCTAAAACATCAAATATCCTCCCCATTTTTCTCGCAAGTTGCCATTTCCTCTTTTTCTTTCGTTTTACTTTTGCTCTCTTTCTCTCTTACTATTTTTTGTTTTGTTTTTGTCACGTGTCTGCAAAAGATTTACGAGGAAAAAGTAATTTTTTTTTCTTTATCGTACAAAGTATTATGTACATGTAGTTTGTAAAAGGGTAATTTTTAAAGTGGTGAGTCATATCCGTCTGGGAATATATTTTTCGGTTTTTCTTTTTGGGAAGGAAAAAATTGATCGGCTTTTATGTATAGATATATTTTTATGTTTATTTGTACATGCATAGTAAACAAGAGTTGGGAGCATGAAACACGTTCTTCTAAAAATTAATTCAGTGGCATAAAAAAGTACTTTTTTCTTTCGATACTTAAAAAAAAATTCTATACCACATATTAAAAAATATTCTACAAAATTTTGAATGTTTTGAATTATTTTTTTAATTAAAATTTTGGAATTGAATAATTTTTAAATTGTAGCGTCAGGACGATAGAAAGAGACAGATAGTGTACTTAACGTCCCCTCTTCTTTCTCTCTCTAGAGGCGCATGCGCATGGGACGTTACTAGTAATTTTAAAACTAGGTGAAGGTACAGTTTTAAAAATATTCACAATTTCTTTTAATTGTTAACTTTAGCGTTTATTTATTCGTCAAAATACTTGAATTAAAAATTGGTTACATAAATATTAAATTAAATTTGAATAAATTTAAACCATAAATAATTAAATTAATAAACTTTTTAGACCTAATTTAAAAATAATCTTTAATCAAGATTTCTAATCACGATTTTAATCATGATTTTTTAATCATGATTTCTAATCACAATTTATTAACATCTTCAATCACAATTTATTAACATCTTTAATCACAATTTTTAATCACAATTTTCAATTATTTATTTATATTTTTATTTATAAATGGGTAAAATCATTATTTTAAATAACAATTTTTAATCATGATTTTAAATCAGTTTAAATACAAATTTTTTATTTAGCCTATTATTAGAGATGTTGTGCGAGAAAAATTTGAATGCTCCTTTTTAAAATATTGTCACGATGTCCTAACTTCGTCGCTCAGAATATATTGGGAAGAACCTTTGTTATTAAATGCAGAAACGTAAAAAATATATTTGCAAGAAGGACCGAGTCCAGTTAATTTATATTGTGGATTTTCTGAACTATCAATATATTTAAAAGAAATTATCGTTCTCTTTGGATAAAATTTATAAGCCAAAATATTGTAGGAAACAAATTTGAAACTATTCACAGGTTTTTGCCATTGAATAGTAGAAGTTGTATTTGTGGTTTCCAAAATTTTGAGATCACTTGGCATTTCAGGTACGTCTACAAAATGAAATTATTTTTTTTTTAAATAAAATTACTGAATAAAATCTCAAAAATATAAATTTTTTTCTTTCATAAGAACTTTGCATTGAAATGGATCAAATCTTTAAGTTAAATATTTTTTCGATATTTTTGAAAATATTACGTACCCCATGAAGGTCTTAAAAAATAAAAAATTTTATACCTGAAGGATTGTCAGTTGTGACCTCTCTGCTCGAGATATTTGCAAATTCCCATGAATCATTATCCATATTTTTATCAAAAACTTCAAATACATAAGTCGTGCCCGGAGTGAGTTTAGAAATTCGGCAAATTTGAATATTTTCGCTACTAGCTTTTTTATCACATTTCATAAGACTTCTCATCATTGTAGATCTATTTTTGTTCATTGCTACAATTAAATTCCATTCGTAATCTCTTCCATTTTTAATGAATTTCAAATTTACACTCACATCAGTGACATCAAGTATTTCTAGTGATTCTGTGAAATTAAGTTTTAATTTTCAATTCTCTCCGGAAATAATGTTTAATACTAAATTCTGTCAGAAAAAATAATAAAAATTTTGCAATTCTCACCTTTGATACCAATTGTCAATTTTATAAATATTGCGGCAAACAGGATAATAATAGGAATTTTCATTTTAATAACTTTCTAATAACGCTTACTTATCTCTATTGTGTATGCGAAATTTTAAACTTGAATGAACTAGAAAAATAATAATTTACAGATGTATATATATATATATACAAATATATATTTATACTGAAATTAGAACACGTGTCAGTCGTGAAGATTAACAAAATTAATTCTTCCGGCGGTGTCAATATTTATTTAAATATAAAAGAACACCTTCGGAATCGTGGGTTACAAAATTCTATTAGGCAATAATTTCTAAATTATTTACAAATGAAATTTATTGTCTGTTATTTATTCGGAAAAAAATACTTTTTACAAAATATTACTGATTTACATTTTATAAAATAGATAAAAGAATTTTTTTCTTTTTGGAAATGAATTTAAATAAAAATCTCAATTTAAAATTCTGAAATATTGCAGAATTGCGTGATGTAATATATTAACATATTGCAACAATAGATCAATTAGTTTCATCACTTTATTCCATCTGATAAATATTTAAAGATGAATTGCATATTTTTAATTCTTTTCAAACTACAAAGTCCATTGTATTTTTAATAACTTAATTCCTCTTTATATTTTTCAAAAAAAATTTGTTTTCAATTTTACGAAAATTTTGATTAAAGAGAGTATTTAAAAAAAATTGAAAAATTTACTTTTAATTACTGCAAAAAATAATAATCAAATCAAAATAATAATAATTTTTTATTTTTTAAAATAATCACGTAAAAATTATACCTACTTTAAATAAAGTTTAATAAAATTATTTTTGAAAGTAATTAGGAAAAAGAAATTATATTTTAATATAAATATTTTTATGGTCACTGATTAGAAATACAAAGTCGATTTCTAAAAATTCAAAATGGCGGATTCAATATGGCGGACTCTTAAATACTTTTAGAAGATAAAATCTTAAAATTAAAAAATTCTTACAGGACATGCAAATATTAATTTAAACAAAAATAATTACAAAAATAATTATTTTATTTTTATTTATAACTTAAAAGTGTTAAGTTAATTAATTAAAATTATAATCAGCACTTCAGGGCTCGGATCGTCTTTAAGACTCAAAAAAAGTCGCTTTAGTCGCATAAATTTACAACAAAAGTCACAAAAAGTCGCATAAAATTTCCAAAAGAAGTCGGAATTCTTCTTTGAAATTCAATTATTTTCAAAAGTAATAAAATTCTTCGCAGAAATTCAATTATTTTCAAAAACTTTTTTAAATTTTTCCTCAAAATTTTATAAACAATAAAATTCATCATAAAAATTTAATTGTTTTCAAAAGTTCTAATAAAATTCTTTGCAAAATTCAATTATCTTCAAAACTAAGAAAATTCTTTACAGAAATTTAATTATTTTCAAAATTTTTTTTTTAAATTCTCCTCAAAATTTCAATTATGTTTAGAAATATCAAAATTCTTCTGCAAAATTCAATTACTTTTAAACATTTAAAAAAAAATCTGTTAAAGATTTCAATTATCTTTGTGAATAAGAAAATTCTTCTCTGAAATTCAATTATTTGCAAAGAATTTTAATAAAATTCTTGTCAAAATTTAAATTATCTTTACAAATAATAAAATTCATCGTAGAAATTCAATTATTTCCAAAAATAATAAAATTCTTCGCAAAATTTCAATTATTTTCACAAATATAAAATAAAATTCTTCTTATGAATTCAATTATTTTCAAATATTAATAAAAATATTTGCAATAATTCAATTAAAAATTCACAGGAATTCAATTATTTTTGAAAAACTTTAAAATTCTTGGCAGTTATTTTTTTTTTTTTTATAAATTAATAAAATTCTTCAAAGGAATTGAATTATTTTCAAAAAATAATTGAACTCTTCGCATGATATCAATTTTATTTTCGAAAATTCGTCAAATTTATCGTAAAAATTCAGATTTTTTCAATTATTACTAAAACTCTTCTCAAGAAATTCAATTATTTTGAAAAATTTTGATTAAATTAATGATAATAATTAAATTATTTTCAATACAAAATTTTAATTAAATTTCATTGAAAAAATTGAATTACTTTCAAAAATTTTAAATCAATTCTCTACAAGATTTCAATTATTTTTATAATTAACAAAATTTTCTTTGCCGAAGTTTAATTATTTTAAGGAATTTTAATAAAATTCTTCGCAAAAATTTAATTCAATTTTTGACGGGAAATAAATTTTTTTTTTTAATTTTTAATAAAAATTTTTGTAAGAATTCAATTATTTTCATAACTTTTAATAAAATTTTCCGTAGAAATTCAATTATTATTTGCCAAAATTAATCAAATTCATCCTAGAAATTCAATTATTTTCAAAAGTAATAAAATTCTTCGCAGAAATTCAATTATTTTCAAAATTTTTTTTTTTGAAGTCAATTTTTAAAAATTCAAAATGGCGGATTCAATATGGCGGACTCCTCAATGCTTTTAGAAGATAAAACAGGGACGCATGATTATTCCCCAAATGTCATTTTTCCGAAATGTCATTTTACCGAACTGCACTTTTGCGAATAGTCATTTTTGCGAAAAGCCATTTTTGCGAATCGCCATTTTTACGAATTGTCACTTTTGCGAATTGACATTTTTACGAATCGCCATTTTTACGAATTGTCACTTTTGCGAATCGACATTTTTACGAAATGTCATTTTTGCGAATAGCCATTTTTGCGAAAAGTAATTTTTACGAATTGTCGTTTTTGCGAATTGTCATTTTTGCGAAAAGCTATTTTTGCGAATTGTCATTTTTGCGAAATTTCATTTTTGAGAAATGTCATTTATGCGAATTGTCACTTTTGCGAATCGCCATTTTTACGAATTGTCACTTTTCCGAAAAGTCATTTTTGCGAATTGTCATTTTTGCGAAAAATACAATAGTGAATCTATATATACCTACAAGTTTACTATTTTATTTTTCGCAAAAATGACAATTCGCAAAAATGACTTTTCGGAAAAGTGACAATTCGTAAAAATGGCGATTCGCAAAAGTGACAATTCGCATAAATGACATTTCTCAAAAATGAAATTTCGCAAAAATAACAATTCGCAAAAACGACAATTCGTAAAAATTACTTTTCGCAAAAATGACATTTCGTAAAAATGTCGATTCGCAAAAGTGACAATTCGTAAAAATGGCGATTCGTAAAAGTGACAATTCGTAAAAATGGCGATTCGTAAAAATGTCAATTCGCAAAAGTGACAATTCGTAAAAATGGCGATTCGCAAAAATGACAATTCGCAAAAATTACTATTCGTAAAAATGACATTTCGCAAAAATGGCTTTTCGCAAAAATGACTATTCGCAAAAGTGCAGTTCGGTAAAATGACATTTCGGAAAAATGACATTTGGGGAATAATCATGCGTCCCGATAAAACAATGGCATTATTAAATTTGTACCGAACGTAAAAATATCAATTTTACTTTTAACAATAATTCCAAAAAATATTATTTTTATTTACAACTTAAAAGTGTTAAGTTAATTAATTAAATGTTATTCGTTAAGTTAATTAATTAAATGTTATTCGTTAAGTTAATTAATTAAATAAACAGAACTTTAAAGTTCAATGTGTACTTTAACAAAAAAAATAATTCAATTTAATGAAAGTAAATTTTCAAATATTAATTTTCTCATAATTTATAATGTCTAGTGTGTATTTTCATTGTGTGTACAAAGCGCCACGACGACGTTAATCTGAGGGATCATGTAATTAAAGACTCGAGGAACTTCGGAAGTTGTGGTTTCGAGTTTTGTAAGTTAAATAAGCGGTCACCGGACTGTAAATTTGCTGCCAATGTAATTAACATACGCAGCTGAGGTCGTTCTCTCTAGAAACACCCTTTTCAACTAAATATACCAGTATGTATATGTATGTATACATGACTGATACTGAAGCACATTTTGCCCTAGAGTAAGTGCCAATTAACCGACACGTGGGCTTTTGTCAAAAGATGGCTTATTTACACAAGACCGTCTATATTGTTTTTCAAAAATAAAAAAAAAATAACAAGAAAAAGAGGCGTTAAAAATTAAAATACAAACTTAATTTGATTATTAAAAAACTATATTTTAATTTTATTCAAATACATTTAAATTTGGAAAAATATGACGCGAGTGGTTGAAGAAACATTATAATACCATAGTGGAATTCAAATAGTAAAGGAACTTTGCGAATTGGTAAATAAGTTAATCGGAGAGGGAATTTTACCGACTGTCGGTAATGTAGATCACTGATTCACCATACCGACCGATGGTAAGTCGGATAAGATGGCTACTTTGGGGAAACCACCGCTACCTGAAAAAGGACTTCTCCGATTAAAACGACAATAAATTGTAATATTCAATCAGTCTCTGTAAATTAACGTTCGAATAAACTAGTCATTAAATGAAACATATTAAATTAATTTTAATTAATTAATTTCAATTAAATTAACATATCTAATTAATTAACATTAATTACGAATAACAAAAAATTATATTTCTTTTTTTTTCTGTCCCGAGTGAGCGGATTATGCAGAAAGCGGCAAATATGTCGCAGGGTAATTAATGAATCATAAATTAAATCCTTAATGAAATGTATAAACAATTCAATGAAAATAATTGTGAAAACAATTTATTTATATTTATAAATGAATGATATTATAAAGTACGTGAAATTGATTGTAATTTTCAAATTCACGCTTGTAAGGGGAAATTGGAGATATCATAAAATTTACTTTTATTGCGGGAGATAAAATTTTTTTCCCACTCGTGTAAAGTATTTAATTTTAAATGCTTTTTATTATAATATATGGCGTTAAAATTTTAGTACTACGTTTCACCAGAACTTTAGTGGTACAAAATTATTTTATTAAAAAAAAATATTGACATAAATTAACGTACCGAGGATGAATCAATTTTATTTCTTGATTGAAGAGATAAAGATGGAACGAACAGTTGGATTTGAGATCCGTGACTTGGATTTTCATACATACGCTGGACCCAAGAAAAGATGGATAAAATTTGCAGTTGTCATCAATAAAGACGAAGCTGATATGCAAGAAGAATTCAAATTGTTTTTATACTCCGGAGCTTAA